TTTCTGCATTCTAGTTTGAATGCTGGGAGTTTTAACATTGTATTTGTGGATAGTTCTGACTGTAACTTCAAGACAAGCTGTGATACTAACATCTCTCCATGATATTCCCTCAGAAAGGATTATCCATCTTTTATTGCTTTTATATATCTCGGTGTTATGCTGACATCCTGGAGAGCATTTCCCTTTCTTTTGAAGATTAACATTTTTTTTTTTTTAGGCTTAAAGGGATATTTCTGAAAATCTTCATTTCATAACACTAGTTTCCAGCCTTGCTGAATATATTTTCTGCATGTTTCCTGTGTAATGTGTAATGCAAGTTCAGCTTTTCAGGTGGTCTCCCTGCCCTCCCACAAAAAGAATCACTCCCCAGTACCGCCCTCTCCCCCAAAATCAAGTACGGTCCATCTCCTCGTTGCTTTGACTTGTCTTCTGCCACAGTACATATTCCTAACCATGCAATTCAGTGATAAAAGGGTTAAATTGAATGTATACACTTCTAGTGAACTAGAAGAGTTACTGTCAGAGCTGTAAATGCATTAAACAAGTTAAGCGAGCTTATTGGTTTTCTTCATTAAGTTACAAATAAAGAATGGCAGACAAATGGTAACCTGATCAGCCGATTACAGCATCCTTTGTGCAAATTCCTGTACTTAAAGATGACATAATTGTCGGCCAATGAAAGTAATTGCCGAAGAAAGGGAAGATTGCCCCTCTCATGAGAATAGAGTGGTCACTGCCATAAATTGTTTTATTTTCTGATGTTTTCTTATAAAAATGGTGATTCAGAATCTGTGAATACTCCAGTCAATAAAAATTTAAATTCCTGGTCACTGGAAATACAGTGTAAATGGTATCACTCAAGAAAGGAGCAGTGGTTGGTTGTACAGTGATGCCTGTTTCCAAGGGGTGATTTCAGGTGTTCAAATCTCAGTCAATTTAAAAACAGCTCTTTTGCATTATTACATATTGACACTATGTACTCTTCCTGCCTCCAAGTATACTTAGTTCTGTTCTGTTTTGCAGGTGTCACTTTTATTTTCCTTAAATATTTAAAGCATTACAGTAAATCCACTATATTGATTACAACTGACATGTAAACTGTTTGTTACCGTTGTATTATTATGGTTCACCATTAAGGCAACAGAAGGATGTAAGAGAAATAAGTACATGTGCTTTGCCATTTTCTGGTGGAAACTTTCCTCTAGGGCTTAGGCATAGTTCAGTGGTTCTCAACCTTTTTAGAATCAAGGTACCCCTCGTTAGACTCAAAAGCCCTCCTAAAAAAAAGCCATCTTTTAGTTTTCTTTTCTTTTACAATAGAAAAAGAATGTAGCAATTTTCTGTTGCAGAGAACTTGGAGGTTTTTGTAAGCGGTGTAGTTCGGATCAGTAGTGAGCAGACCAAACATTCACCCTTTAGTGGGGGAGGGCAAATCTTAGACCAGGTTCTGCCACTTTTAAACCAATTTGTCTGTGCCAAACTTCTGTTATGGGTACAGACCAGTTTCCAGTCACTTATACCGTTAAAAGTGTAATGTCTATGCGTGGCCATAAAGTTGTAAAACACTTCAGCTTTCTGTGCATTATCCATTATTAACTTTTCTTTCCTATTTGGTAAGAGGCCTATATTTTCCTTGGTCTGAAAGATCAGAACAGGTCAGAATAATTTTAACACTATGGTTCCTATTTGAAATCTCTGGGTTTAGCTTTTGAATCATGTTTGCACACCTAACTACTAACATTGCTTCGTGCCCCTGCAACACTTTTGAAAGGATCTCAAACCACCCCAGGATGAGGTGGCACTGTGGTTGAGAATGAGTGGCATAGTTCCTGAAATCAGTGGAGCTTGGTCTCCACTGGTAAACTTCTGGATATTGAATCTTAATGCATTCTCTAGTTTTTCCATTCTCCTCCTCCTTCAGGTACAGATTTTGATAAATCCTGATATAGGAGTCTTATAATTACTTGCTGTATCTGACCGTTTCCACTCCTTAGCTTAGTGATGTATAAACTGAACATCAAGTGCAAGCATGTGATACTTTAAAATGCATTTTTTAATGCGATGCTTCTGTTTGTAGCACAAGAAGCATGATGAAAATGAACATTCTTTTGTCTCTGACTTCACAAATGAAAATGGTCAGGGAAAGATACCTCAGTCATGATCTGTCAGAGCTCTGAAAGACTCAGACCCCGATTCTTTGCTCCGTTACCCAGTTGTTACACAGATGTAAGTCAGTGGGCTCCCTCTATCTCTTCTCTCATGAATTGGTAGGAAATAAACATAATGAAAATGACATGCAGTAATAGCACTATGCAATAGACAGTACCATAACCTTCAGGTTAATTGGTGATTGTAGAGCCTTTTATTCATCATCATCTCTGGTATATTTAGTTGCTGAAATTTGTTATTGCCAGATGCAATCTCAATATAATGATTGTTGTTAAAAAGTCAGTATTTACTATGTGGTAGTTCTCAGTAGTATTAGAGATAACTTGGTTGATTACAATGTTTATGGAAGGGAAGGGCTGATTATCCTCAAGTATTTCTACTTTTTTTTTTCACTGATGGTGACTGGGTTTCAAGTGTTGTGCACTGATTGACAGTCTCTGATAGCTGTATCTGCATACTCAATTGTTGACCGTGTGGATGGTAAGTTGAGTTTGCTGAAAGGAAGCCACCAGCATTTTTTAATCTATTCCAACTAAACTGCATTTCAGTCTTGCTAAGTTTTGGATATCTAGGCAAATACTTTTTTTCCATTTTTGGAAAATCTGTAGACTTTCTTCTCCCATCCAAGTATTGGTTCTAGGAGGATAGTGTGATGGGATTGGAGGTGGGAGTTATAAACCGACCTGAATCTCTAGGCGAACCTGGAGGGGTTGATTTCTAGCCAGGGCCTGCAAACTAAACTGCAGGGTTTGCAAACTCTATTGCAACCCAAACCTGCCAGGGTTTACACAGCTCTAGCTACTATTATTGCTCCTGGTAAGGCTTATTATTCTGTCATAGAAGATATAAGAAGATCCATCTCTCCACTTTAAACATGATAAGCCTTTGTCACCTACAATGCAATTAATGTTAAAAATAGAAGAGCACCTATGATAAGATTGTGACTTGCAAGCAGCGAGCCATTGTCCAAGTAACAGGGACTTATCTGAAGGCCGTTGGCCTGCACAGAACTGTCAGTTTGCTGATTGCCATTTCTCTCTGAGTTTGATGAAATATTCATGTCTTTGCTCTGCTCTCTGCAAGCACTATTGATTTCTTGTATAAACGCTGCTATATTTAGTCTAGACAAATGGAATGTGAATTGCTGCTGAATAAATTGGATGAAAGGCTGGGTTCTTGCCTGTTGCTTTTTCTTGGTCTGGGGCAATTATTTATAATCAAGAGTAGTTTTTGTAAGTTAAGGGTGATTTTTTACAATTTAGTGATTAGTCTCAGAACAAAAGCAAGCAGTTAGGAACAATCATTCTGTTGGGATAGCAGGTTAAGAAGTCAAATTATGCTTTGAGGTTTACAATCACTTTTGAGGGGGTAGAAAATGTTTGATGTTTCCAGTTTATTGACAGAAACAGAATATGATAACAAGGAGAGATTTTGGTGTCTTATATCTCCCTCTTTACATTTATTTATCATGTGCAAGTATACCCCTCTGGCTTTGTTGTAGGGTTTGAATTCAGCTGTTTGCTTCAGCTTTCACTCTTACTAATATTATTTGAAACATGGAAATATTTCTACTATATTCAGTTCCTGTCTTTCTTTTGAACAAAAGGAATAATTAAAGTGCATAAAGATAAAAAAAAAAAGGAGAGAGAACATGTATGGAAACATGTAATTCATATCTAGTCCCTTGAGGGATGTTATTTCCACTTACTCGTTCTGGGTTTCTATGGGAGTACTAGTTAGTACTAGTTAGTACTTCTGTATCACTGTCCCCTTGTGGATAGAGTAAGAACTGCTCAAGTGTATGTCCTAGACCGTGTACTGCTAACTACTCTTTTAGCACTATGGTAAGTGTTTCTATTCACACACAGACACGTGATATGAAAACAACTGTCCCTGTTAAGTAGCATAGTGAATTTCTTTACATTGTGTGTGTGTGTATATATGTATATATATGTGTGTGTGTGTGTGTGTGTGTGTGTGTGTGTGTGTGTATAAATATGTGCGTGTATATATGTGTGTGTGTGTGTGTATATCTATCCAAGTTATATAATATAAACATTAATTAAATTAATTATAAATGTATATAAATTTAATTCAGGGATTGAAGGGATTTTTCATTACTTGGTTTTATGTTATGCTAACAATATATTCTGTTATTGAAATAGAAACAGTCCTTTTAGGAAAACATTTGTGATGAGCAGTGCATAGAACATCTACAGTAGGCACGTGAATAGTCACTATTTAAAAATAAGTGCATCAATACTTTAAAAAATACATTTGTCCTTTTCTTCTCTCACATGGTATTGTATATTCTGTGCATTTCCTCTGTTTAGTATAAAGTCCGGCATGTTTGTACATAACTACATAATATAGGATATTTGTATAGGTGTAATACCACCTTCAGTCAGTCTAAAAGCTAGCTTTCTCCCATTAGAAAAACATTTTTCACAATCCAGGACTCTGGGGCTTTTACCTTATGTCAAATAATGCAAATACACTGAGAGTGGCCATTACCCAGTATCACTAACCAGTAATAAACTAAGTACTGCTCAGCTGGCTTCTGACACGATGCAGCATTTTCTAGGAACCGGGAGTCCTCATTATTCTAGAAGGGAGCATTTCTTAAAAGAACGAGAGGAAAACAGCAACTTGGTTTGGACAATCTTAGATTGGAAGTGGAAATGACTGGACTCTGTGTAATTTTCAATGAGAGCCATTTTGCTAGCTCTATAACAAAGGACATTTTGAGTTAAGTATGCAGGCTGCATATTTTTATTCTGTTGCTCCAATGAGCTTTTATTTTTCCTTTTGTTGTTGTTGTTCTTGTACAGTGGATGTAAAGTCAGAGGTGCCTGTGGGATTGGAGCCTATCACACCATTAGACTTGCGAACTGATCTCAGGATGATGGTTCCCATGGTAGACCCAATTATGCGTGAAAAGCAGCTACAACAAGAGCTACTTTTGATCCAGCAGCAGCAGCAAATTCAGAAACAGTTGCTGATTGCGGAGTTTCAGAAACAGCATGAAAAACTGACCCGGCAACACCAGGCTCAGCTCCAGGAGCACATAAAGGTAGCAAAATTTTTTAATTTTGTCCCTTTGATCCACCACAAACTGAGTATTCCCAAATGAATGCTGGGTAAGGGAGTGCTCCTGGAGGTTTTAGTGTTAATTAGAGATGGAGGTTTGAATGATGATGACTCTGCATGCCGATGATATGGAGAAGTGATGAAAACCCAAGCTGGACTGGATGGTGAAAACGTTTTCATGCATTCACATAGGTTTTATTAAAATATATTACTGTTCAGCCTAGAGAAAATCAAGGCATTCTAAATTGGAATACTTTTCTCCCATTCAGGTGACATTTCCATATTCATTCAAAGAGTATGTTTTGCACCAAGTTTGGCTGCCCTTTTTGTGGTGGAATTCATCTGGGCATAATAGCTGTGATTGCTTGTTTTTTGAAGCTGTTTGAGTTCATGCCCACAAATCAGATATATATATGTAGCAGCAAATATTTGCGTCCCTAAAACTGGACCCAGACTCTGAAAATTTGACATTTTGCTTGTCTCCAAGCTAGCTCACACAATGTGAAGGAAAACGATTTATGGGATTAAACCTGTCATGGGAGAAATACTGGCACAGTTTTTTCTTTTTGACTGAGCATTCATGGCCTTGCCTTTTTCTTTCTGAAATATCTTAGTCTCTTTGCTAATGTGGTGAGCTCTACGTGATGAGGCAGACTGACAAATTCAGTTGAGCATAGCAACCAGAGTTTGATGGTACATTGGCAGAGACTAGAGATACTGTGCAGGTATTCCATTCTTGGCAAAAGAGAAAGAGGCAAAGCCACTGCAGCTAGTTACTACTTGATATTAAAGTCATTTCAGTGAAATCTGATAATGTAGTATACCACAGAAAAGTGAGTTAAGAGGTTAAAAAAAAATCAAGAAGTTAGCATAGAGGGAAAGTACTGCTATTTGGTTATTGCGGGAGTTTATTTTGGCCAGCACTGACCTAGAAAACAATGCAAACTGCCCTTTCTCATGTCTTTTTCTTCTGTGCAAGTTACAACAGGAACTCCTAGCCATTAAACAACAACAAGAACTCATTGAAAAAGAGCAGAAATTGGAGCAACAGAGACAAGAACAGGAATTGGAGAGGCATCGACGGGAACAGCAGCTTCCTCCTCTCAGAGGCAAAGAAAGAGGCCGAGAAAGTAAGAGCCACTGTACCATCCTCCAGCCTATAAAGTGATATGTTCTGTGTCTCTATGCAGTGGATTATGACCACAAACTCAAAGCAAAATATTAGTACATGACATATTCAGCCACAGGAGTCAGAGGTGTGACTGCAAAAATGCAGACCCACCTGTTACTCCCACAAAGCCACAAGGTTAGGTTACTTGTGCAAATTGAGAGGGTTGTAGAAAAATCTGTTCTGCCATGCCTGGGAATCTTCTGCTCTGGTATCTAGCTTTCCATTTAAAAAATGAAAGGCTATGCAGTTAGACTGTAAAAAGTTTAATTTAAGGTCATCTCTTTCAGGAGCTGCTTTATTATCTCATTGAGAGTGCACTACAAAGCAGCAGACTTCTTTGCTGGCAAAGAAAGTAATTTGAACAGTGCTTCAAGACTGAAAATTTAATATAGTATTTAATAATTTCTCCAGCAAACACAACTGGCCACTTCTGTTTTTGTTACAAAGCTGTCTTTCTAAACTATCTTTTTGTTGTCACTGACAGTACTCCATAAAACATGAACACGTTTTTTTTCTAGCTTCCACAGGGCTTTAAGGCCAGTGGGGAAAAAAAGAAAGGACAGTACTCACTAGGGGGAGACAGACACAAATCATTCCCCTCAGTGAGGTCAGGTTAAAATCAAATAATTCCAGGGTATAAGGTGTGTTGTAAAGGGATTTGCAATGAAATGACCAAAGATACCTGTACTGGCACACTTAAAGGAGCATAAAGTGTTAGTTAATAAAGAGCAACCTGTAAGAGATCTGCAGAGCATACTAAGCCTTTCTTTTTTTAAGGAAAATTGTAGCAATTTAGCTGCAACATGTTCTAGGCTTTAAAAACCAGTGTTTCACTGGGACTCCAGTGAAACGATATACATGGATCTTTGCCTTTGCCTGTGCCCACTGGCTCTCACTCTCTATGTAACACATACTGAGAAAATGTTGTGTGGTCGCTTCATTTGTGCTTTGTAGAGTGGTGCTGAGCATACTCAATACCACAACACACTTTTTAGCATGCTTCCCACTTATACCGAGGAATTTCTTTTTTACCTAATGCAGAGTGCGCTAAAAATGGCAGGCTTGGAATTGCAGTAGAGATGCGATAGAAATACCCTCAGGCTCTCACAGAGACTATGATCACCAGGCTTTGATGCTCCCATAATGAGAGCAAGTGGACAGGGTATATTTGGTCCCAGGCTCATTTGGGAAGCAGTTGGGCCATGGTCTAAGAAAGCTCTGTCTCTTTCACAAATGAGCTTTAGAAAATTTCCTTGTCTCAGAGGAGTGAAGTTAGCAACTACTCCTTGTCTTAGAGCTTTAGTTAATATTTTAGGTAGCGCACAAGGCCAGATCATTAAGTATCTTAAAAATAAAAACTGAGATCTGGGGCTTTGCGATATTCTTTTGGGAGTCAGTACAGTGGGGAGAGGGGAAGTTAGATGCACTGTTAGCATTGTTTTAGTTCAGTGGAGATACTCTTCAAAGGGACTCAGATAGCATTATATTTCTGTCAGCATTTCTTTTTCCCTAATGATTTAGGACTTGATTTGAGAGCTGGGAAGGATTTATAGGTTATAGGACCTGATCCAAAGTCCATTGAAGTCAACTTAAATATTCCTTGGGCTTTCAATAGACTTTCAGATCAGGCCCAGAAGGAGAATGAAGTCATCTGCTGAGTAGCAATATAATTCAGACCTTCTTTCATTTTTGTTGTGATTTTCATTTTTGCTGTTTACATTTTATGGCACTTTCCACAACAAATTGTGTGCGTGTTAATATTATTTTGTTCAGTGCTGTACCAAATAGGAAAAGTTTAATCTCTGTGTGTTTCAGGGGCAGTGGCTAGTACAGAAGTAAAGCAAAAACTTCAAGAGTTCCTTTTGAGTAAATCAGCAACAAAAGACTCTCCAGCTAATGGGAAGAATCATTCCATGAGCCGCCACCCCAAGCTCTGGTACACGTATGTTCAGTGTTAAGCTGTTTTTATGCCTCGCTGAGGTATCCACTAATGGTGGGCATCAGGATTCTTCTCCAATGGAGATACTGGGAACCTGTCCAGAACAAACAAGAAACAAAACATCAACCAAAAAGCTTAACAAAGAAATAAAATAAAACATTTTGAGTTTTTTTAAACCAAATTGAGGAATGTCAAGGGGCCTTTCTTTGTTATTTCAGGTCATGTGTTACTCACCTTTAGTTTCACATTAAAGCCATCACCAAAGCTCAAAACAGAGCTCACTCCAAATGACAGGGTTTTGAGTCAGAATTTGAGAGTGCAGATGTGTCCAGGAAAACTGATGAAATCTTTTCAAATTTTCTTGGAATTTACAAGCTTGTGAGCCAGGCTTAAGTTCTGTGTTTGCAATGAAACTAGGCAATTTTTGCAGGATTATAGAACTGGTCATGAATTTGCTGTGGCTTTGTGTTGTACCTGCTTATGGAGGCCCCATACAAAAAAGCGGACGAGGCATCCCAATCCCATGAGGGAACCTTAGGTAGTAAGTTATACAAGCAGAAAAGATTTGTTCAACTTCTCTGAATTCTTAGTTGCCTGTAACCTGTGCTATTATATCCTTTATATAAAATTGCAATAGCAATTGAAAATCTGTTCTCTTTATACGTTGAAAATAGCCCTGGGGATAATTCACTCACATTTAGAAACAAGTAATTATATCGCCACATGTAGGGCAAGCTGTGAACCCATAAATTAACTCAATTGCTATTGTGAAATGAGAATGTATTTCTTCTAGGTGAAGTGTTGTTCTCCAGTCTACTGTTGTCTGTGATTAAAAAGAGAATTTGCTAGTATATTGAGAAGTGGTAATAGCTGAATTAACATTTTTTAACCTTCTCTTGGAGGTTGATGGCTCTTGGTGTCTAAGATTCATGTTTTGTGGATGTATTGACCTTAGTAAGAGTATGACAAGGAGGTTCTTGTATCACTAGGTAGGGATTTTGGTAAATGTTGCAATGTCTACAAAGGGTTTACAGTGGCCACCTTTCTAAATGTCAGATTAGAGGGGGTGCATTTTTTTGTCTGCCTTATCATAGCAGATGCATCAATATAATATACACCTCCAAACAGGAGAGTGACTACGTTGCCAAGATAGTTCAGCCCCACTGGACACAGGGAGATGCATGTAGTACTTGAGTCTTGCCTCCTTTCCAAGAATAGCTTGGAGGCCCAAGGAGCAAAGCCAGATAGTATACATGACCTGAATGGTATATTGGTATATATAAACAAGACTTCTAGATCCTTTAGCTAAACAATTTGATCTAAATTATTTTCTTTCAAGCAATATGTTTGACAGCTTTCCCCTGGGGTTTCTACTATCGGTTGCAGGTAGTTTGAACATTGCATGATCTAATGTGCAGCTATCTTTTCTTATGAAGATATGGTACTTAATAGGTTCTGTCACAATATGCAATGTTCTATTAAGTGAAAAACTCCTGACTTAGTATTTAAGAGGGAAACCTGAATTTAGGATCTGAATTCAGGTGAGAGTCTTCAGCTGCATAGGACCAGAATGCTCAGGTCCCCAGGGGAAAGGAGTACCTCATTCCCTGTTAGTAACTCCATGTGACATGTAGTGTCTTTAATGGGCCCTTTCCACACTAAAAGGAAAGTTACTGCAATGAGCTTTGAAGAAGGACAAGAGTAAAATGCCTTGTTATTTGAGGCTCTAAATTCCCACCCTTCCAGAAAAAGGCCCTGCAAATTAAGTTATATTTGTGCCAAGTGATGCAATTCCTCAGTGATTGTACAGCTCCCTTGGTTGGAAAGGCCTGTTTACAACTTTTCTCATGTTTGGCAGTTGTCGGAAAGAGGTCTCTTCTGCGGAACTTCACTTCCAACGCTAACTTCATATATTGCTAAGTAGCGCAGGCAGGAAGTTTTGTTTGTTGCCTGAACTGAAGACAAGGTTTTGCCCTCTTCACAACTCCTGACTAATTAGCCCACATTTTTCAAAGGGGAATAACAATCCGTTTTCCAAACGCTGGGTAATTGACAACTGCGTAGAGATGGCCATTTTCATGTGTATCTAATATTGTTTAATAAACAGAAACCAAATAACTTTTGCTTTGCTTCAACTGGTCAATATTAAAAACCAGCATGCTAAAATGGTCCGTTCCCCAATCTGATGACAGATCCTATTTTAGGGTCCAACATGACTCTTATCTTCTTTGACTTTTATAATGACTGCAAAAAGCATATTCTTGGGAATCCTATGCAGTTCCATAGCTTACTGTAAAAGTGAAATTGGCTACCTGAGCCTGTGGTTTGTGCACACTTAGAGTAAGAACATAAACACAGCTGAGACATGTGTACACCATGTGTAGATGGTTACTGCTGGTCACCTCAACGATTGCTAATTTGTGACCTTTCTGTGTCTGCTACAGGGCTGCTCACCATACCTCACTGGATCAAAGCTCTCCACCCCTGAGTGGGGCCTCTCCACCATACAAATACACGTTACTAGGAGCACAGGATGCCAAGGATGATTTTCCACTTCGAAAAACGGGTGAGTCAAGAGTGGTTTATTTTGCCCCCAAATTCTCCCTCACTTCTTTTTAACTAGGCTGTCCTTTAGTAAAATGCATCCATAACTTACCCGCCCTGCTCATAGTGATTCATTGGAAAGGTTCAGTATTAACTATATCTTCTCCAAAGTTAATTTATCTGAGGGTGGCAAGAACTATTATTACCAATGCTTAACCATACAGAATCCAGTACTGATATAGATATTTCCTAACTATCACTGTCCCAAAGGAACTTTCACATAATTCTGGGTTTAATTTGATGTTCCTAGCTCTCTCTTTCTCATATATAATATGTACCTCATCTATGAATAGGTTAGTCCAGGGCTATCCACCCTAAAGGCAACCAGATGCCTCACACCCTATGGGCTACTCCAAGGGGGATGAATCCTCCACAAATGATGCCCCACTACTGCTGCACCTCATACCCACACCCCTCCGTGCACTGCATACCTGCAACTCCCCCACAGTGCTACATTGCTCGTCCCCCAGTGTACTACACACCTCCAACCCCCCCTTCTCCTTCTGCCTCCACTGCACTACACTTCTCAGTCTCAACCTCAGCTCCCCAAGTTGTCATGCTGCTGTACCTCCTGGCAGTGAGGAGAGGAAGTGGCAATCAGGGAGAAAGGGGGAGCCCGGAGACCCCAGCTACTGTTGCAGCTGGAATGATGGAGAGAGCAACTGGGCAGGAGCCTACAAGCCACAGTCCAACCCCAGTTTGGCCTTGGTTTAGTCAATAAATAAACCACTAGAATAGATTTTACATCTATATCTAAAATATCTCAAGAGTCTCTCTCTCTCTCTCTCTCTTTTTTTTGTGGTGAAGAATTGTATAATTATTATATCAGGCGACTTTTTCTGGTTGCTGGAGCCACATATATGTTTAAAAATATCCTTTGGATAGAAATGTCATATATTTTACAAGAAAACTTTCCTTGGAACATTTAAGAATGTTCTAAAGGCTCCAGCAACTGAAGCTTATCTCCTGACAACGGTTGAACTGTAGCCTTGACTTTCTTTGCACCACAGAATATATTAAGGAGTTGGTGGTGGAGACAGTGTGGTTGTAGCCTTATGTCTATGACACAGTGACTGGTATCCCAATATGTAGGGAGACACTATGTGGAAAAAAAAAAAAGAAAGTGAAAAGAAAACATTAGATCCTTTATTGCATAAGGCTGCTGGCGAGTGATATAGTTACTTTCAGCAAGAAAGTCTACCACCCTGCTGTGCTAACTGCCTTTGAATATGCTTCAGCCACTGGGAGATTGAACCCTAAGTGCAGCCCTGGTACTAACATTGAAAAGACATGGCATTTGAAATCAGTATGCATCCAGAAAGGAAATACAGTATGCATCTAATACTTCAGGACAGACACTTAAAGTGCATGTTAATATCCCCTAATGTTTTCACAAAAAAATTGCATAGGGCTTGGTTTTGCAAGGAATGAAAAATAAATCATTTATTTTGGTAGAATATGGTGACAATGTAACCAGATCCAATGAAAGGCTTGCTCAAGCTATTCTGTTATTCTGTCATGCTAAGCTGTGATATAGTTCTGTCCTTAAGAGTATTGTACAAAATACATTTTCTGTGCTGATAAGCTGTACAGTTAGTTACTTTTTTAAACATAATAGTATACTCCTTTTCCTCAAAATAATTTTTTCCTATATTTTGGAAATGTAGGTTTTCTTTTTTCTTCCACATTTACATATTATTTTAAATAGGCTGATTGATATTTATGACATGTCATACTGCTGATCTGTAAAACAAAACATTTTCAGACACTGTAACAGTAAAGTTCTTGTGCAGCTGCTAATACTTTTATATCTCTGTGGGGGTTTGAAAATATTCCTTAATTCAGTTCCCATTGTCTGTATAAGAGGACTATAATATAATTAAACCCAGATGTTTTCTGTACATTATTCCAAATATTTGGGCATGCAATGCATCAGTTACAAATCGAGCTCATAACTAGATGACTCCTCTAAAAATTATAATACATATAGCATAAATAGACAAATAATGTTAAAGTCATTATCACAGTAGTTTTGTAAATCGAGTGTTGTTTGATACTTATAATTAATTATTCTTCTCTTCAAATAGAGATGCGTGTAGCATGTCATACTTCAGCAAAGAATTTTAATTTATAGTAACTCTTATAAATATCCTGTTTACATATTAATTGACTCCTTGTCATTGAGTCCTAATTTCAGGCTTCAGCAACATTTTCCACAAAGGTTCTGATGATTATTCACCAGGTTCAGAGCAAAGGCAACAGGAACCAGAATAACACCAGTCAAATGACCCTAAGCTTATCTGGGTGGCTGCAGGGCCATCCCTTAGGCAGAGGGGACATAGTGGAGCCTCTGTCATCCTCATGGGACCACACCAGACAAAGATGTCCCAGGAACATTCATATGTATGGACAGGCTCTATGCCTGCAGAGCTCTGACCTTTGCCACAAGGGGTGAACCTTTTTTCCTTTCCTTGAATGAATACTTATTGCTACTGGCTTCTAGAATAACCCTGTGTGTCTGAACCTGCACACAGTCAGCATGGTATGAAAACAAATCTTTATGATCTGTGCAACTTTAAAAAAGACTACCTAAATCCCAAATTAAATGTTAGTTTTAATCATCATTCTATTTTGCTTCCCACATTCTTTCTGATGCGCGTAATATAGAATTCAGAGGCGTCTTATGTCTTCTTTAAATGCAGTGTCCTTTTAGGATGCTTCATGATTGTGTTTGATTTGTTTTAATTCAGCCTAAATGAAAAGCAAAGCTGCATAATTCTATCCCAACACCTGAGCAAGATACAGAGAGGTTTCTCCTCATTCAACCCATTTTGTCAGATACCTAACTGCAAATCAATCATCAGTTTCATTCTTTCTTCCCATCTCACCTTCTCCAAATGGTGCTTTGTTACTGAACTTGTTCAGTTGTATTCAGGAGAGAGTATAAACTCAACTTTTAGATTCCACCCACAACCCCAAATATCTCAAGTAGCCAAATATTTTAGCCAAACAGGGAAACAGCAGTTTTAACTTTTATATATATCTTTGAAATTGGGCATCAGAGTCAACATAGCAGCAAAACAGAAGTGATCTTGGCCCTTTATTTACCTTAATACCATTCTCCCGAAGGTGTGGAGGAATCTGTCTGAAGTAAACATATTCCACCTCTGGTGCACAGAGGACCAGGACTGGGGTTTTTGGGTTAGAGGCCAGGCAATTCAGTTCTTTGCACAACTATTTCATTTAGTCTTCGTTAACAGGCTTAGAGAATAACAGAACAGAGGGATGGCTAGAGCTATCACTTTGTTGGCTAGATAAACATAACATATAGAGGAGATGTAACTTGACCAGAATTCGGCCAAAAATTTGCATGTCCAGATTTTCAAAAACGTCCACCGGCCAGCAGTTCCTGATATAAATCACGCATGATTCCCAGTGAGACTTGTGATCCTAAGTCACTGGGACACTTCAAAATTTCATCTAGTGGAAGCATCATAGTACAGAGCATTTTTGAAAGTCAGTATGCTTCTCCTAATGGGAGATGAGCTCTTTTGAAAATGTGATCCTCCTGCCCCACTCTTCTCCTTCACTCCATTCACCTGATCAATGGGATCTGTTGAGTGCTGAGTTCCATAGATTCTTGGGGCTACAGATATGTTCCAACACAACTTATTTGTTACCTTGTTGAAATGATTCAAACAATGTTCTGGCAGACAGCCAGGATGCTTGCATTTTCTCGAGCTGGTAACATTCCACTTTCTGTGATTCATGTTGATGTAATCCAGCAAAAACTATTCTAAATAAAGGTTATTCCCCAGCTTTAACTAAAGCAGTGTACTTTTTTAAATTATGTTCAATGTTAAACCCTAAATTTTGGACCCATCCATGTCCAAATTTACTTCTGGATGGATTTTTTCTGCCTTCATTTTTTATCACTTGGCTGTTACTGGATATAATTCCATAGAACATTAGCACAGATTGGTATCCTAACCTGGGAAACAATAAAAACTAGACTTTTATACAGCATACCTCATATGCTGTAGCATTCTAATACTCAGAAGATTCACAAAACTTCTTGACCCTCTACATGCTACTTTCATATCTGAACAGAGTTGCCAAACCAAGGCAATGTTTTTTTATTGATACTCGCAAACTTTTATTGATAACTAAACTGTTTTACTGACATATCCGTGATGTAATGTAGATGGAGCCTTTCTACGAAGCCCTGGACATGGATGGTCCAAATTTTAGGGATTAACATGAAACATAATTTTAAAAAAAAGTCAGTAAAAATTGGAAGAGTTGCAATAAAAAAAATAAAATTTTTGTGTTAGTACCCCTGCCTCACTGGAACAATGGTTTTATACTGTGGTGCCCCCACCCCAGAGGTCCCCTATTCAATCCCATACACTGATACCCTCACTGCATCCTGCTTCTCTTGTCCCCAGTTCATTCCCCCACTTCACCCCTGCTGGCCTGACTCCCCATCCTGGCATTGACCTATCCCACAGGAAGAAGGATTTCTGTCGGCTGACCAGCATTAGTGTAAAAGGACACAGCAGAAGCAGTAGCACAGGACTGGAGTGGGAGGGGCTACGGGCTACAAAGCCCTGAAAGATGCTTTCTGCAGGGTGTAGCAGTCCCACTGGGACAGAAGGTGGTGCTGTTGTGCTCTGTGTGTCATTCAACACTTGTCTCTTGCAAGGGATCATCAATCAAGCTCTGGTAGCTTAGTGTTTTTATGGATAACTCATTTTTAACAGACTTTACAAACAGGCATTTTTAGGCTTGTCCTTCAGTCTGTCCATAAATTTATGGACAGGTAGCAACCCTGTATCTGAATTGTGTATTGCTCTTTTACATTGTTACTTATGGCATTATTCTTGAAACTATTTGTTGTTGAGGGTAGTGACTATGTTTTGCTAGAGCTATTGGTAGTCTATGCTGGTAGTTTTCAACCTG